TTTCAATTTGAATAAATACTTTATCCAGACCAAACAAGAAACTAAGCCAACCTCTTGGCTTTGGCTTTGATTTGGCTTGGCTTAGTTTAGTCAAACCTCATCCCATCAATTTATCAAATCTCCCAATGTTCAGCCAATGCTTTTTGACCAATCGTTTTATGGAATTATATTTTCAGGACTGTTTTAAGCGGGATTTTTTTGATCTTTTCAACGCATATGGCAAACAATGGAAAAGCGGGGATTTTAGGAAATGGCACAGAAATTGTTACCGCAAGGGTAAGCTGAAACAGAATACAATAACAATTTCAACTAATAGAAAAAGAATCGTTAAGATTTGTCAAAGGTTTCAGGTGAATATCTATTTTATATTATTTTGAAACTAAATCGGGAACTTCTCGATTTCAGAATCAAAGCAGAATCAAAGAAATCAAAGAATCATTTCAGAATCAAAGCAGCTACCGTCATTACTCTGACACCGAAGTGCGGCTCCTCTCGCTCGGAATGTCCGCTTTCGCGTTAGCGGCATTGATCTTAGCCATCTTGCTGCCAAAGAGAAATCTCCCAGAGTCACTTGAGAAGAAAATCAAAAATGAAATCACTTTGAAAGAACAAATCAGCGAGTTTCTTTGTGAGAAAATGTAAATGAAACTAATGTAAACCAGTGAGAAAATGTAAATGAAACTCTTTAGATAAAGTCCTCTCAGCTATGAAACAGAAAAATCTTCTCAAGTTGGCTCCATTCTTTTTATTCACTGGATCCATTCTTGCCTTGCTTTTTACCATTTATCCAACAACATTCGCGTTCACGGATTCTTAAGTGAAAGAGAGAAATCTTGTTGCATATTATTGTATCGCTACTTGTTTGGGAGAGATTGTTGGTGAGTCGAAAGGGGAGAGAAATGGGACTTTGAAAAATCGAATTTAGTCGGCTTAATCTTCACCTCAGTCAGCAAGAAGTACCACAACTTTGGACTGATCCCGGTTTTCATATTGACGTGCATCTTCTTTGTAATGGTAACGGTGCTGACATTGATCTATACGCCGGCTCAATCTTCATTAAAGCCAACAAAAGAACTTGCGATTTTGGAGCCAAGGTAAATATTGACCGGTGTAAATCTTCGGAGGTTCATTGGGTCCGATGGCCGACTGGCTAAGAGTCCTGTCTCCTGCTCAGGAGGTCAAGGGTTCAATCCTGCAGAGTGAAATTTTCGGTTTTTTTTTATCAGATTGATCGATTCTTATTTCTGCTGCTTTTTTATTGTTTTTAATGTGAATAATGAATAATGAATATCTGTATTCATGTGAAAAGGTTTTAAACTTCTTACAAAGACAAATTTCAGCGCCTGGATCGGCATACTAGTTGGTGTTCTTTATGGCTGTCTCGATGGAGCGGCGTGTAATGCAAGAATGGTTGCTGCTGCTAAAGGACTGCCAGAGTCACCAGCAATCGCTTTCAGTGTAGCGAAATTCTATCAGGTGCCTGTGTAGCCTTTAGCTCTACTACTTCTACAGTATTCTAAAACTTACCCACTACTTATGCTACAGTTTTTGGCGCATTTCTACAGTAAGACAAGCTATTTGTGCTTTTCTACAGTAACTTTATCTTTAAACATATCCAATAAATTCAAAATCTTTGAATAAACTTTAACTCTTTGAGAAACAATCAACTTCCAGGCCGGTTCTGCTATGATCTTTCTCTTCTTGGGCTCCAAAATGAACATTCATCAAATTCTCTATCTTTCTGGCTTTCTGATGATTATCAGTAAATTTTACGAATGATTTCGGAACTTTAGACAATTTTAGGTATCGGCTGTTACATCTCATTCCTTCGAGACTTAAAAGTTTCAAGAATTGGCAGCATTACAGAAGGAATTGAGGAAAGTGGAGATGAGAAGATTTTGAGTGAATAAATTTCATGGCTGGAATGCTGGCTCTGTTAAAAGCTTCCTTAAAAGTTGTCAAGCTTCATTAAAAAGTCCAAATACAAATCGTTTAATATTTTTATTCGATTAAAGAATTTACGCGATAGATAAGAACACCAGAAACGGGAAAATGACGAGGAGAGAAAGATTTTTGACGAAAAATTCTTTGCTCTAAATTTTGCTCTATAGTTTGCTCTAAATAAAACCGATTTATTGAAGAATAATTGCTTTTTATGCAGTTTCCCATCTTTTTAAATCAATTTCGGTTCACTTTTAAGCAAATTTGAGAGTGAAAACGGTTTTTTTTTGTAAAAATCTATAAAAATCTCTACGAAGGAATTGGCTGAATGAATCTTTCTGAAAATTTGGCTATATAACTAACTTTTTGTGCTCTATCTTTTATCTATTGACACGCAGATAGGTTTCTTCAACTAAAGTGGCTTAAATTTAAGCCTAAACCGCACCACCCGTCACTCTTTTTGAGGATCCCGCGCTCCCAAAAAACTGGAATTCAGTTGCTGAAATTCAGCTGAAATTTTGGTTATAATCGTAACTTTTTGTGCTCTATCTTTTATCTATTGACACGCAGATAGGTTTCTTTAGCTAAAGTGGCTTAAATTTAAGCCTAAACCGCACCACCGTCGCTCTTTTTGACTACCCCACTTGACGCTCCCAAAAAAACCCAGATATAAGACATTTTAAATCCGTTTTAATGTTATTTTGCAGAAGAATAAGTGATCTTTCTAATGTTTCCGTTGTAAATGTAAATGTTAAATGTGCCGTAAATCAGTGAAATGTACTCACACTAGTACAGAGAAGGCTGCCCAGAGGATCTTTTCGTTACTTTTCTGTTGAAAAATAACAAAATCACCAATTAACCTATGATTTGCTCTAAATAAAAAGTGTCTATTCTTCAATTTGGATATTGTTAAATCTAAACAGATAGGTTTCTTTAGCTAAGGCTAAGGCTTAGGCTTAGGCTCAGGCTTAGGCTTAGGCTTAGGCTCACTATTAATATCATCCTGCCGCTCTTTTTGTCTACCCGACTTCACACTTCCAAAAAAACCCAGACATAAGACATTTTAAACCCATTTTAATGTTATTTTACAGAAAAATAATTGACCTTTCTAATAAAACAAACCGTAGTTCAATTGGTGAATTTGTTGATGTTGCATTTGTTGCATTTTTTGGTTCAACTGGTGCAACTTTTAAACGAAAGTACGAAAAGGAATTAAAAGACTTAATAAAATCTGAAAGAAAGACTGAAAAGAATGAAAAGACCTAATAAAATCCCAAATTACACTTAAAATTAAAAAGATATTCAGTTAACCAATTGTTTTGTCTTCAAACTAAAGATACGAATTCCAGTAACCCTGTCTGTTTCAGAGCGATAACCAGGGCTGTTCCAAAAGTCATTTAAGCCATTTTTGCCTACAGTTAAGCCAATTCAAAGTGAGAATGCAGAAATTTAATTCATTCTGAACTGGGACATTGCTTTCAAAGTCTTCAAAGCTTTCAAAGTGTACCTTTAGACTGGAGTGGCATTCGATTTTTGTCCGGATTGACGTAGATGACCGATTCGGCACTCACCTCTTGTCTTAAGAGCTTGATTCTACGCCTAAAACGCAACCGTAATCAAAACCGTAGCCGTAGCCCAATGAAGATTGGAAAAAGATTGAAAGAAACCAGTTTCGTCAACCTTTAGTGTACCTTTAGACTGGAGTGGCATTCGATTTTTGTCCGGATTGACGTAGATGACCGATTCGGCACTCACCTCTTGTCTTAAGAGCTTGATTCTACGCCTAAAACGCAACCGTAATCAAAACCGTAGCCGTAGCCCAATGAAGATTGGAAAAAGATTGAAAGAAACCAGTTTCGTCAACCAACCGAGGAATCTATTGCTTCCAACTTGAAGAGACGATCAAATCGAAAATTTGCAGACAAATACTGAATTTTTTAACAAGTTTAAAGTCTCCAGATATATGTAAATCTTGGAAGTGAGGAGGTTCTTGATTTGCAAATTCCGTATAGCATTATCTAGGTGTTTTAAAGTGAGACAATGAGTCATTATAGACCGTATTTTCTCTAATAGTAGTGCACCCTGAGCGTCGCCTAAATTGCTCGAAATCTCGAGAACCGCTTATCAGAACCTATCGATGTGGGGTCGGAAAATGTAGCTGACGATGAGATCTTGTGAGGGATTTGAGTGTTGAGCTTCTGGGAAAACTTTGGAAGCCGTAAATAGTCACCAACTCGGCAGGGTGCACTACTATTAGAGAAAATATCGTAGTCAAAACTTTAACTTGTTTGTACCACGACGAGCGAATCAGAATCAGACATTCCCAAGCGATCAAGTGTAAACTAGCTACTTTGTTAGCTTTACAGACTTATTGAACAGGAACACTTATTGAACAGGTTCTACATTCTTAGTTAAACTACTCACGAATTAGAATCAGACGCTTTGCACGATCAGCTTTGCACGATCAACTTTGCACAATCAGCTTTGCACGATCAGCTTTGCACGATCAGCTTTACACGATCAGCTTTGCACGATCAGCTTTGCACGATCAGCTTTGCACGATCAGCTTTGCACAGAAACAACTCTCAATCAGTCACATTTCTTGACACTTTTTGTAGATTTCATCTTCCAAATTCGAGATTTCATCTTTTCCAAACATTCCGGATCAAAACGTCACCCTTTCTCGATTTCAATCATCTTCAAATTCCATATATGAAATTTCTGTCTCTTCCCATTTTGCACAATCACACATAGTGAGAGAAAAAAAAATAGGGCCATCAAATAGAGGTGACGATAAAATGAAGTGAGTGTGAGTGAAACTCTCTCTGTCTCCAAGTTTACGACTCGACAAATAAAAACGCCTTAAAATTTACGTGAAAAAGGAATTCACGAGCAGAGATTAGGCGTCTTTGTAAATTTTTGAGACTTTTTGAAGTATTTCTTTTTTGATTTAGGCAGTATTTGAGGGAAATTTGCGGAATTCACTGTGCAACGGAGCAACATGGAGCGGGCACGGCTCGTAAGTTGAAAACACTAACCAATTGAGTTGAAAAAGTAACCAATTGACTATGAAAAATGTTTAACTGCTTAGAATATCGATTCGAATTCCATTAGACTATTGTTTTTGTAAAGGATCAACTTTCAAATGTCAGGTGACCATCGTTTTGCTGCTGATTGCTCTACTATTTCTCATCGCTGGCGCAATTATGCTTGGAATCGGGATTCACAAGGCTAAACAAAGTCAGTTTTTGGAAGTGATTGAGCTGAAAAAGGGAATACGAGATAGAAGTTTGCAGCATTTTGCTTAAAAGGCTTCTCTCGCGTGAAGCCAATATGACTGGGTGGCGCAATGGGTAAGAGGTCTGGATACAAACAATCTTTGGTCTTCCCTCCTGGGTTCGGATCCTCACCAAGCAATTCTTTTTTTCATTAACTTTTTAAACTAGTTTTAACAAAACGTGTAAATAGTATCGTATCCCATACAGTAACCAAGCTAGCCCTCGCCAAGCTAGCCCTCGCCAAGCTAGCCCTCGCCAAGCTAGCCCTCGCCAAGCTAGCCCTCGCCAAGCTAGCCCTCGCCAAGCTAGCCCTCGCCAAGCTAGCCCTCGCCAAGCTAGCCCTCGCCAAGCTAGCCCTCGCCAAGCTAGCCCTCGCCAAGCTAGCCCCCCGCCAAGCTAGCCCTCGCCAAGCTAGCCCTCGCCAAGCTAGCCCTCGCCAAGCCAGCCCTCGCCAAGCTAGCCCTCGCCAAGCTAGCCCTCGCCAAGCTAGCCCTCGCCAAGCTAGCCCTCGCCAAGCTAGCCCTCGCCAAGCTAGCCCTCGCCAAGCTAGCCCTCGCCAAGCTAGCCCTCGCCAAGCTAGCCCCTCGCCAAGCCAGCCCTCGCCAAGCTAGCCCTCGCCAAGCTAGCCCTCGCCAAGCTAGCCCTCGCCAAGCTAGCCCTCGCCAAGCTAGCCCTCGCCAAGCTAGCCCTCGCCAAGCTAGCCCTCGCCAAGCTAGCCCTCGCCAAGCCTAGCCCTCGCCAAGCTAGCCCTCGCCAAGCTAGCCCTCGCCAAGCTAGCCCCTCGCCAAGCTAGCCCTCGCCAAGCTAGCCCCTCGCCAAGCTAGCCCTCTGCCCCCAAGCTAGCCCTCGCCAAGCTAGCCCTCGCCAAGCTAGCCCTCGCCAAGCTAGCCCTCGCCAAGCTAGCCCTCGCCAAGCTAGCCCTCGCCAAGCTAGCCCTCGCCAAGCTAGCCCTCGCCAAGCTAGCCCCTCGCCAAGCTAGCCCTCGCCAAGCTAGCCCTCGCCAAGCTAGCCCTCGCCAAGCTAGCCCTCGCCAAACTGTACCCCATCTAGCCAAGGTTGACCAAAAATCCATCAATCTGGCATAAAAAGAACCAATAATCCACCGGGATTGAACCCTTGACCTCCTGACCAAGAGATAAGGCTCTTAGCCAGTCGGCCATGGGACAGAGTGAAATCTCGAAGATCTACACCGATCTATAGTTACCTTGGCTCCAAAATCGCAAGTTCTTTTGTTGGCTTTAATGAGAATTGAGCCGGCGTATAGATCAATGTCTGCACCGTCACCATTCTTTTTTGCATTAACTTTTTTAAACTATTTAACGTTTTAACAAAACGTGCAAATAGTATCGTATCCCATACAGTAACCAAGCTAGCCCTCGTCGTTCGCCAAACTGTGCCCCATCTAGCCAAGTTTAACCAAGCAAGATAAACAGAAAAATCTTATTGTTTTCGTTTTGACTCATTCATGTTATTGGGCAGAGAAAGGTAATACGAAAAGTCAATTCAAAGAATGATCTAACTCATAGTATCTACCGTGTGTTGTAAGGAAACAATATTTCTGCTCGTTTAGAGCCTCACAAGGCGTACATTACAATTCTAACTGAAGTTACTCAACTTCTATAAAACACGAGTAAAAAATTGCACAAAGATCTAAACTTTGCATGTTACAAATTTAGAAAAAGATGATT